CTTGCCAGTAAAATAAAAAAACTTTTTGAAACCTTCGGCAACTGCTACTTAATACTTCATCCCCGTCTAAGCCCACACACCGTGTATAACCGAATCCATAGCAGAAAGAAACATCCTGTATTCACATATGCAATGATTTCTCAGCAATTAGCTAAAGATAATTAACTGCAAATATTTGAAGCAACTGCTTGTGTAAGAACAAATAGCACAAGACACATGAAGGTAACGAAATACGAAATACACCCATACACCCATTGCTTGGGCGCAAAGTCACACCCCACGGTGCGCGTCGACTGCGTCCGCCTGGCCAAAAGTCAGCCAAAGAGTGGCGGCTGCGCTTCACTGCATCGCTGAGCAATGCGGAGCAGCAGTTGCTTTAATGACTACCAAATAACCAACCAAAACTGAGGCGATTGCAAGAATTTCAATGCCAGCTGCGGTTCGGTGATGCATGACAAGTGGAAGTCGAAGAGGTTTGCTGTGATTTTCCAGGCTAGACGGACTTGGTTTAGAATTGCGCTGGTGATTGCCACGTGGTTTTCTGGTTGCGTCGTGTGGTGTTGCATTTTATTGTCTTTGCTGGATAGCATGTGAATATTAATTGGTTTTAATTGCAGCGGGCCAAGTGTTGGCGTATTCATTTGCCTAATGATCCAGCAGGTTGAACATTGGTCAAATGCTCAGCTGGTCAATTGGCCGACTGGTTATGTGGCCAACACCCGCGACGACTTTGTGGTAGAATTCGCTATAATTATGTTGTTTTACAGCTAGTGCAATTAATTAAACATGATTTGCTTATGAATATGGATTGTCGGACTGCAAGATAAACGACTGCACACAACACCTGCCGTTCAATTCGCTGGCAACAACTTCTCAAAAAATGTATTTATATCCCAAATAAGCGATTACTTTTGATAGCTACAAATCTGAACAAGAATAACTAAATATTCGCTGACAATCGACAAGACATTTGGCTTGCAATTTACTGCCGCATTTTGTGTTTTATAATCTCCCATTCTGTTGAATGCCACAATTTGCATATACACATATTCGCATACATATATACTGATAAATAAGAACAAACAGGCAGCATTCGCCAACGCCCACGCCCACTCCCACGCCCACCGAGTATTGCCTAACTTATGACCTTAACTGTACTCTAGCTGATGTGTACATGTATGTAAATGCCTTGAGTTTGTGACTAATTGTAGGGCATTGAGGGCCCTGAGCAACAACACCTTTTGCTGAATCTCTTAAGTTTGCAGCTGCTATTCAAGAATTTCCGTTTTGGTATTTGTTTTTTTAATTGTAGCATAGAGGGTATTCTGAATGGCATTAAACTTAAGTGCTTAAAGTTCACAAAGCGTATACGTAATATATTTACTCTAATGGCTTTACAATTTGGAATTTTACAACTATATAAAATACGATTAAAAGCGCTTTTAAAATAGATAAATAATATATAAAAATGTTTGAAAAGGGAATCTATAATTTTGTTAGAAAGTCTTGATTTTATGGCGGATCAAAATGGCAAACAAATGTGTTCAAATTGAATTATTCAAATTGGGTATTGCACAATTTCCAAAGAATTGAGCTTTATGATAGCAATTCACACGATTAATTTTTTTTTGATTGGCTTTTAATATTGAGAAAAACAAACAGGTGTTAATTTATGTTTAACAGCACTAGCTTTAACAGGAATTAATTGTTGCGAGCGAGTATATAAATATTTCGCAAAGCCAACCCCATTTCCCACTCGTTTAGCCTGCTGCTATATAATTTAAGCTATATTAAAACTAATTAAATTTTGTAATACGCTAATATAGTGTCATTTCGCCAGTAAATACAATTCGCTGATATATGCTATTATTTTATTAACACTTTTATCCAGTTCTTGATTTATGCACATATGCCGCACAGCTTTGCGTGTACCGCACCCATATGAAATGATAATTATAGCTCACAAATTGCAGGATAGGTGGGCATACACAAATCTGTAGATTGCACTTGAGCAGTTCAGCCCACATGTCGGCAAAAAGATGGAAACAAAAAACAGAAAACGACGAAGTTTACAAAAACTAATAAAATGAAAACGAAGGTGACAACGGGAATATAATTTATAATGTTGCGCATGCTGCAAAAATGTCAAAACACACCCGCCACGCCCCCAAGCAAACAGAGCACACGTACATTTTGTAGGGGGAGTTCAAGAGAGTAAGCTGCATTTGGTTTATTTAAATGAAATTGGCGCTGACGTTGCATTTGAGGCAAGCTAAATTAAGTTGCGGCTATGTGTGCCACATGCAAGACACACACACACACACACACACACACACACACACACACACACAGGCACACACATGGGGCAGCAATGGATGGCGCCTATCGAATGCAAATGATCAAACTCTCTGTGCGGCGTTCGTTATTAAATGTGTTTCTTGTGTTGTGTGTGGCAGGTAAAACAATAAAGCAACAACAACAACAACAGACGTTGCAAAGTGTGGCAAATGCAACATCAAGATTGAATGAACTCCAAAGAAATGCTGCAACATGTGGCAACAACAGCAATACTCTATTTTATGTCTTTTGTTTTGTACGCTGCGCTTTTGTTTTTAATTTGCAAACTTTTCGTTTCAGCCCGTTTTCGATGCAGTTCAATGATTAAAGAGGCAAAACGCCCAGAAATTGGCTTACAATTTTTTTGTTTTACGATTTTTGCTTTTGTGGCCCGTGGCATGTTGCAAGCTGTGGCAATTGCAGCTCCCTAAGCGTCGCACTAGCTTGAAAAATATTCATAAGAATTTTTTAATTTGCTGCCCATGCCGCCAAATACAGGCCCCTTGTTAGCGGTTGATGTGAGCGCTTGCGGGCGTGGTCTGTGGGCATTTTTTGGTTTTTGTTTTTTATTGGAAAGGCACGCGGCGATAAGATCGAACATAAACTGAATATACACCAAATAATGAGTACTAATTGTCCAATGCACGGAAGTTCAATTGCCCACACATGTGAAAAAGCGTTCACAAACAGCCGAAACTCATAAAAACCCGCCAAGATAGCAATTAAAATTCTTTTCCGACGTGGCCATAACGCCTGAGTCAATCGAAAGCAAGGTCAGGGCAGCATTTGCAGTGACAAACGCAAAATGCAGCAGCTGTATTGGCTAACCACACATCGATATGCGTATGTGTGCGTATAGCATTTTTATAGCTATAAACCCGCTAAAATGTTAGCCGTATTGGCTGAGTGTCTGGCAACATGCATTGGCAACATTCGTCGCTCGTTTCGGCTGCCACTTCGGCTTTTGGCTAAAACCCGCTTCGAGCCGCGATTAACGCTGTAATTCGATTACTCTTGTGCCACATTGTTCTGCTATTGGTCTCATTGTAGTTACTGTTATTGTTGCATGTGTGTCTCTGTTTCTGTCTGTGTGTGTGTGTGTATTTGTTGCTCTGGTTATTACTTGAGCTTTTGTCTTTGTCTTTGGCTCTGCGCAGTCGCCGACGTCTCAGCCGACGCTGTCTCTGGCGGTATATATTAGAGCCGCCAGCCGACAGTCAGCACAGTTCGTTAACAGTCCTAGTCGAGATTCTAGGAGGTTCAACCAGCGTCCAACGACCAGTGACTGTGTGTGTCGTCGTGTGTGTGTAGTTTGTTTTCTGTTACTTCCCAGCTAACCCAAATCCTTTAAACGGCCAACTACCGTTTTTAAGAAATACCAACTCAACTTGTGATTAACATTTTGTGAACAAATATGAAGCCATTTGTAAGTAAAAACAATCCGTGCTTATAAAATCAAATGAAAATAAGTTATATCAATATTTGGACTAGCATGTGAAAAGGATAATTAGCTGTAATTTATGTGCCAAAGGCAACTACAGTGAGAGTATATTTGAGAAACTTTATAGTCCTGAGATGGCTAGAAAGGGTCCTTAAACAAAGTTATTTATTTTTTATTTTATGCTCTATAGTATCTAGTTTAAAATTATTCAACTACCAGTTTATAAATAACTGAAGTGGATATACTTAAATAATAAAATTTAATAGCGTGATAGAATTTTCCGAATAAGTTGCCTTTTGTTTTTTTTTCTAAAATATTAGGTTAACTGCAAATGTTCACATATTTCTTGATTTTTAAAAGTTCTATACTATACAGCAGTACTTAGTAGGAATATAGGAATATTAAGGGTGTCTACTAATTTCCTAGAACGCAACTGAATATTGGCTGTGAAAAATAATATCAAAAGCAAAATAGGACTCAAAGTTTACATAGAAAATAAATTATATATTTTCGAAATAACGCTTTGCAATTATTTGGAAAATAGAGTGTTCTGTTCTATTATTTTCGAGTTCTTCTTAAATATAAAATGTAGTTTTCCGAAAATTTTTAAATCTTATTTAATTCAAATATAGCTAAAATATAAAGTGTACGAGCGTAGCGACATTGGAAGCGTTTATTCTTCGACCATCGTAGAACAAGCTGCGCGCTGTTTAAAATGTTTGAGCTGGAGGTCAAGTGACACAGAAACCACCCAGAAATCAGAAACAGTTGCCACCAACCACAACGAATTTCAGTTGATAAGCCGTTGACATGTTGCATGTCGGTTAGTTTCGGCCTCCTCAGGCGGCTTAATAGCTGCTCCACATAATATTGGCCTCGTATGCGGTAATATTAGCTACTCGGCTGGGTGGTGCGAGTATCTCGAATCGAAATCAAATCAAACGTTTCGCATGACGGCGCCTAACAACAGGCCAGAGATATGTAAGAGAGGCGTGTGTGGTTGGTCCGAGCAGTGAGAGGCGATCGGACTGCCAGCCAGGCGAAAGTGAAGCGAAAGAGAAATTGTTTTAGAGACTGACTGACCAACTGACTGACTGACGAGCACTATAATTGCGCCGCCAGGTGGCACCAGCTGTTACGTATCAGCATCAACTATGGCATAAGCTCGGCTAACTCCTAATTATACTCTCCCTCTCTCATTCTATCTCTATTTCGACAACAGTTGCTTGCCGCCGCGCTGCTCATCTCGACGGTGTCCGCCTCTTGGCATGGCGCTGTCTCCACACAGTACCAGCATCTGGACCCTCATAGCCACACCTATTCGTACGGCTATGCTGATCCCAACTCACAGAAGCACGAGACTCGTGCTCATGATGGCACCACGCGCGGCTCCTATTCCTATGTCGATGGACACGGCCATCTGCAGTCCGTGGCGTACACAGCAGATCCGCATCATGGCTTCAATGCCGTTGGCACCAACCTGCCGCAAGCTCCAGCCGTGCACCATGCTGCTCCCGTTTATGCCGCCGCTCATTCCGCCTACGTGCCATACGCTCATCATGCGCACGGCATCCACATCCCGGTGCTGACCCATGATGGCGTGCCCGTAGACACACCTGAAGTGCAACACGCCAAAGCTGCCCACGCTGCTGCCCATGCTGCTGCTGCCCACAATGCTGGCGGCCATCATCTGTACAAGCGTTCGATCTATGGCGGTGGCTGGGCCTACGGTGGTGCTCCTGCTCACGTGCCGCTCACCCATGATGGCGTCCCAGTCGATACTCCTGATGTGCAGGCTGCCAAGGCCGAACACTATGCTGCCCATGCCAAGGCTCTGGGTCAAGTGGCTCATGCCCATGGCGCTCCCGTCGAAACTCCTGAGGTGCAACACGCCAAGGCCGCCCACTTTGCCGCCCATGCTGCTGCTCGCTCTGGCCATGCCATAGCGCCCATTGCCCACGGTGGCTACCATGTGCCTGTGATCCACAATGGAGTGCCCGTCGATACGCCCGAAGTGCAGCACGCCAAGGCCGCTCACTATGCCGCTCTTTCTCAGGCCTCTGCGCACGGCAGTTCGCACAACTCCTGGGATGATGGCCACTATGATGGCCGCTGGGACGCCAGCCACGACAGCCACGCCCAGAGCTATTCCACCGGCTATGCGCATAAGGGTCCCATCCACATCCCGGTCATCCACAACGGTGTGCCCGTGGAGCCCGCAGAGGTCCAGCATGCGCGCGCCGCTCATCTAAACGCCCTAGCAGCGGCCAGTCACGGCGGCGCCTCGCACGGCGGATACTACGGCGGCTCTGCCCATGAGGACGATGGCCAGTACCATGGGCACTACAACCACTATTAAGTCGAGGATCTGCCAGAGGCTGCCATTAACCACAACGATAACGACGAACATTCCTACATAATCTGCCCGATATACTTCTGTTTCACTCTAACGACTACCGAAGCAAGCTAACGCTTAAGCTACTGTCTCTATCACGCTGCCTATCTGCAACTACATATCTGCATCTCTGTCTGACACACACTTGAACGGTAAACGACTACACACGGGAGATTTGAGCTGCTGTCTCATTTGCCCGCTACCCACTCTGACGCCCCAAGTAGAACCCGATGTACTCTTTAACTATCGAATTATCAATAATTATTTTCAACTCTTTTACTCTATCTATATTTCTATCTCATTCTTGCGCACTGTTAACTGTCAATATCGAATTTTCCCATTCTCTAGTTGTTCTCTTTCCACTTTCTTTTCCTCTATAATTCCTCGACTTATTCTTGATTCGAGCAACGCTGAACGAGTATGTTGTAAATAATTGTTGTAATTTTCAATGTATCTTGTACTAAATATGTATCTATATATTATATGAAACTGCAAACAGACAAATAAACTGCAAAAATGTATTTGATCACAAAACTAGTTGCATCTTATTTCGGCATGGAATCCTTTATTTTTTAATTTAAAAATCCGAAATAAAACTGGGATTTCCGAAAATAAGATATGTTCGGGTTTCGCAACTAACATAACTTGGCGATTTGTATATGAAAGTATAAGGCGACAGTTCTTTTAAAGGCTGTCTTGCGGCAGCTTGCAATGTAAACTTCTTTCTATGAAATCCTAATTCTAGGAATCCGTCTTCCGGGAAATGCTGAAAGGTCTGCCTTTCGCCTTTCTATCCTTTTATTTGCAACATTGCGTTAATAAAAGCGAGTTTATTGTATGAGTTACCTAAGGCATTTTCTACATCACATGTACATATAACTTAAATATAGTTCTTGTAAAGTTGGCTCAGTGGAATATTCATTGAATCGGATAATTCGTTATACTCTTATCGCTTTACCAGACAATTCTTAAGAATCTCGGTCATAGCTTCTTATATATAGTCCCGAGTTCCGATGAGTGCAAAAAATTCGCATTTCATGTCTCATCTTTATTCACAACATTGAGTTAATGAACTACGAGTTTATTCAATGAATTTTCCATTATATCCGTTTACCTCTCGACTAGGTTTTTTTACCCTTTGAATTGCATTTCATATTCATTCTATGTGTTCACATCCTTTGCAATTCCACCAGAATGTTAAAGTCTGTAAACCTTGTCACATACACACACTCAAACGAAGACTATTCCTGACGAGCAGCACAAATACGTGTACATATGCTGATGTATTTACCGTGCAGGCGATTGAAATGTGCATATGCCATTGAGCAGGAACACAAAAGTCTGGGGCTCTCGACGGAAATGTTGCTAAAGGTTTCAGTGGAAGCGTCGAGCGCAGACAATCAATCAATGCGGAAAAGCGAGTGTGTGTCATTTTCATTTTTCTGATTCCACATTTCCACGTGTATACTGTGCGGGCACATATTTGCTCACATCTATTTGCGGGTAATTCAGTAACAAATATGTAATAGTCGTACGTGGCTGCATTTCAATTTGTGCGAATACTTGGTGCTGGCCTCGGACTGAAAGGAATATGCAGGCCTCATGCCAGTGGGCCATAAATTGAAATGCAACCTTTGCACTAATCAATAACCTTGGCGGCTCGCCGTCAATTACAGGGAATGCCCCTGACGTGGCCAACTAATTAAAAATTAACAATCTGCGCCGCACACGCAAAGGTCACAGAACGAGTGGTCGACACTGTTCGATTATCGACGCATAAATAACAGAAGGGTCACGAAGCCAAAGCCCAAAACCCTTCTGCCTGCCTAAAAATGGTCGCTCTGCAGACTAAAGCTCTGAAATGTAGCTTTTAAATTAGACATGCATTTGGAAGTGGAATTCGAGGCGAGAGGAAATTAAATTTGTATTTGAGTTCATTCGATTGACCTTCGGCTGGTGCTGGCTCAGGTGCAGCAGTTTGTTGTTAAGGATCTGGTCTTTGATTTGATCGAATCCAATTTAATTATGCTTTAACAAAAGAAAATAAAGTGCAATTGAAATTGTTTAAATTGCAAAGCAACCGTTTAAATGGCCAGCTCAGAATGTGTGGCAGCGGCAACAGTTGCAGGCGTTGCAACGGTAGCATGACCGTATCGTTCGTACAGCTTGCCACAAGTGGTGAGGCGTGGCCCACCCCACGTCAAAAGTGAATGTGCTACATTGTGGCTGTTGTTATTATTGTTGCTGTTGTGTTGCTGCTGGCGCAAATCATTTTTGCCAACTTTATTATTGCAATTTTTGGCGTTGATTTGCACAAGTGGCAGGCAGCTCGCTTCTTGCTTGTTGCCACGGTGTACCTTATTGTTTTTTTCCTTTATGCCTTTTCATATTTCATTGGAATTGAAGAATTTCGTTTTGGCTCATTTGCATGCGCCTTCAATTTGCCAACCAGTTGGCTTTGTCGTTGGCCAGAACAACGCTTAATTGGAGGGTCAGCTCCAGCCCAGCGACCAATACTGCAACAGCAGCAACAACAATAGCAACAACAATAGCGAAAAAGGCTATGTAAATAAATGCCAGCCAACAATTCGAATAAAATAACACAATTACTTAGCCATTTTCAGCTGTTGGTTCTCTTCTACCTCTGATAAATTGATATACACTACTTTTTCATTTTTTTTTTGTGGTAGGCATTTTGCAACGTTTTGCATATTTTTGTTGAAAGTGGTTTTTAGGTTTAACTTCAATTTAATTCGAGGTTGAGGCGTTAATTTATGGCCTAATTGATCCAATTTGAATATATGTAAATCCAGTCAAGTGTTGAAATCAAGTCGAAACCATTGTTATTATATACGCTGGGCTACTGTTAAATTTTTTAAATTTAGATGAAAAGAATTCCACTTGAGTGAGCTGCAATCCTCGGAAATTTGCGAGAATTTATGTATAGTTCTGATTTGATGAAAGTCTGTTATATCCTGAAAGCGTATTCCTGGAATTGGGACATGACTTATTAAACATTAACTGTACATTTTGTTTTTTTGAAACTTTAACGAAATTTAATTACGATTTTTCAGAACTTTGCGGCTGTGGTTTTAATTTATTTAATTGAATTAAATTTCAAATATTCCTTTAGACCTTAATGAGGTTAGAGCTGTAAATGTAGCAAGAAAATTAGTGCTGGAAAAAACATTTTTAAAACTTAATGAACATATTCCTTAGTCATTTTAAATCTGTATACTGATTATGCAGAATATGAAATTTCAGTTTTAAATCCTGTTCTATTTTTCAGCCGCAATTGCCCGATAAACAAATATTAAATTGTTTGTATACCCGCTTAATTATCTGGGACAATAACAAATAACGTAGAAGCACGAACAAATTGAAACAACACGCGAAGATAATGCAACACAATTTGCTGCCGCTGCAGTTGATGCAGCAAATGCGCTGAAAATTTCGCGCATTTGCACAACAAAGTAAGCAGCGAGAAATGTGAAATGTGAAATGCGATTGCCGAATGCTGATTGCTGCCTGGCAAACAATTTTCCACGGTTTTCCTTTTCATTTGTACCAAATGGTGCCGCGGGTGCCATGCCCCAGCGCTTGCAGCAAATTGATGCGAACTGCTGCATTCGCTGCATTTTGTTGTTGTTGAACGTGCACTGCAACAAGCTGACAATTTGTCGTATATGCAGCAGCAACAGCAGCTGTCAAGTGCAACAATACGGAAAATATTGAATATTTGTCAATTTGCTGTTGACATGTGGTATTAAACTCGCACACTCGATTCCTTGCCTATTTGTTTGGGTCTTAATAATATGCAAATGCTATTGCCTGCTTTTAGGCATGTGAGTAATTTATGACGCTGTTGAAAGCTGCTGTCAAAAGCTCATTAATGTGACACACAATTATGGATAACTCCAAAAGCTAACAACAACAAATGCTCGGACATGAGCA